AAAGAAAGAAAGAAAGAAAGAAAACAAAGCTGGGTGTTGGCAGAAGTGAGGAACAACCCCAGGTAATCTAATTGTGTCAAAACAAAGGTTCAGGCTGGAGCAGATTCTGTCTTCCGTTTTGGCAGTCATTAAGATTATCATGACAAATTAGAACTGATCATTTTATTGTTCATTCAACAAACACTCAGCACCTGCCATCATGTAGGCACTACTGGATGTGTCGCGTAGCACACACAGCCCTGGGGAGTATGACGTGTGTCCATGATGGAGATGCCTTCTACTCATGCTGTCCAATTCGGTGCCACCGGCCACTGCAGCTGCTGGGTGCTTGCAATGTGGCCAGCGCTGCTGAAAATTGAATTTTAAATTCTATTTAGATTTAAGTGATTTAAATAGCCACATGTAGCTAGTGCTCTGTGTGCTGGGCACTGAGCAGATGAGTGGGAACACGAGGGAACTACCTGCAACATTTTAAGTGAAAGTAATGATGAGGTCAAACAATTAAGTTCATGGACTCATGCTAGAACAAGTGCTTTGAAGGGTGGGCTCGGTGCTGGCCAAGAGAAGTACTTTGAAAGTGACCATAGTGATATTCAGCAGTGAGGTCAGTAGCACTTTCTGTAGGATGATTTTGCCACCTTGTCAGACGTTGTACCGTTATATAAACTAATCTGCACTCATGCTTAATTATATGTGAGAATGTTTAAAACCCATCCAAAAACAATATTGAAAACACAGGCGTTGGAGGAGCCCATTCAGAGAGTAGGCACATGGTTTAGTGCCACTTTCAATTTGAGTGACAACGCCGAGCACAAGTATTACCTCATTACTACTAAGTTCAGAGGATAAGAATTTTCACGCTGTGCTTGTGGATAAAAAATTAGAGATACCAAGACAAGGAATGACTCGCTCTGAAGTCAATGGAAAAGTCAGGAATTGAAATCAGTCCTGTGACCCGAGATCTGGCAGTAAAACTAGATAACATTAGTTACGTCTCGCAAAATAGTTTCATGAGAGCTCTTAGTTTTTCTAAAAATACTTCTGAGGAATTGAATCTGAAATTCTGTTTAATTTTGAATAATTTAAATAGCCACATGCAGCAGGTCACTGCACTGGGCGTCATTTAGGAGAGCAAGAATACGAAGGAAAGACTCAAAACAAACTCTGAACATACTGTCTCCGGCCATCAAAGAATGTCAGCTAAAAACACTCACCAGAGAACACCTTGCCCCAAACTGGGCTGCATGGGATATACTCAGGGTATATAACACTTCATATAGTATTCACCATTCAAAGTGCTAATATGTCCCCCGCAGGTCCCCTCCACAGTTGCAAGATGAAGGTGTGATATACAGGCTAGCTGTGTTATGTTATGCCGGTTCTGTGTACATAATGGGTAAATATATATACTTGACGCACAGCGTTTATATATCAGAAGTCAAGTAAAAATAAGCATAGTTCAGGCACTTGTAGACGTTTCTAAGCTTTCAGTTTGCCTAAAACCCCCGGCATGTGATGAAAGGTTGAACCCTGGATCCTGACCTAGGATACTCCAGAGGCAGCCTGCAGCTTTCACTATTTAGAAGGGTTCTCACAAAAGGCGGGTACTTTAGCCTTCTTTTTGCTGATGAGACATGAATCCGAAATTTCATCACTGCAGAGCTGTGAAGCCCGACCCTGCTGCCTCTCGTGTGTGCCTGGTGGGGTGGGCAGGACACTCCTGAAGAATATAGCGCTTGCCGCCTGGCCCGTTGTACACCCGTAAAGCCCTGTGTCCGCTGGAACCGGAGGAGGGGGAGGTCGAGGAATAACGTTACGGGAGGTGGGAATGGACAATTCATTCCTTTTATGATGTTGCTTTGGAAACAGACCTTAGTCCCCTTATGGGAGGTCTCCATTACACAAGGTTTTATTTTAAAGGATGTCATTGATTAATTTTGCAATCAGATCAGTCCCGATTCTAGGTTTTTACTATTAAAGGAGTGCAGTGATGACCATCTTTGTCTTCCCTGTGCAAAGCGCTGGTGTATCTGTGGAATACGTGCACAGATGCTGTAGTCAAAGGATGTGTGAGTCCCCGAGGGTCCGTGCTCATTCACACTCACACTGGGTAGAGGGGGTCGCCTCTGTGCCCTGTCTACCACAGCCCTGCCAGTCACGAGTGGTTGAGGGGATTTCTGAGTGTCTTCTGTGCTCAGCTAACACAAATTAATCACCTGGGTAGTCAAGCTGCTTCTGCTTTTTCCAAGATCTTTGCCTGGTGCAGAACTGTTACAGTGTGAAATGATTGTATGAATGCAGTTTTCCAGTGTGAAATGCTTTATTTTCAAATTTTAAAAATAGGCTGGG